CCTGCTGAATTCATTTATTAGTTCTGATAGTTTTTAGTGGATTCTTAGGATTTACTATATACAAGATCATGTAATCTACAAATAGATATAGTTTCACTTTTTCCTTTTAATCTCGATGTCAGTTATTTCTTTTTCTTGACTAATTGCTCTGGCCATAACCTCCAGTATACTGTTGAATAGGAGTGGCAAGAGCAGGCATCCTTGTCTTGCTCCTGATATGAAAGGGAAAGAATTCATTCTTGTATCACAAGTATGATGTTAACTGTATTCTTTTTCATAGATACTCTTTATCGGGTTGGGGAAGTTCTCTTCTATTTGTAGTTTGTTGAGTAGTTTTATTGTAAAAGTGTGTTTACTTTCTCTTTAATTCCACAACAACCTACAATGTAGTTCTGAGAATCCCCATTTTAAAGACAAGCAAACTGAGGCTCTGAGCTTTCAGTGACTTGCCCAAGACCACATAGCCAGTAAGTGATGGACTCAACCCAGTACATGGACTCCAAACTCCATGCCCTAAAGTTTTTCCAGCTATCTATTCCCATTTGCAGCTTGCCATTCCCACTGTGCAGAGCTATTAGGTCCTAAAAGTAACTCTCTGAGAACATATCTCCATGCAGATAGGGAAAATCCACCAGGGGCTAAATAAAATGGCTCTCACGCTTCTACTTCTGCTACATGGACAAGACCAAATAGAAGATGTTTGAGCAGAGATGGTCAAACTTGGCCCACACTCCCTGTGCAGGGCAAAGCTGAGGTTTAAGGAAAAATCATAGTAATGACATAAGGACAAGTGGATATTTCAATGGTCACCAAGTCTAATAACTAAAATCCAAACACAGAAGAGATTCTTGGCTCCAGACCCTTAGTTCCATGATAAAGGTTAGCTAACCATTTGTGAGAAAGATATCAAAGTGTACCATATTGGCTAATTGCTTTTAGAAGTGGCCCTTAAAACTTTAACATCTTTATCAGTTATTATTACATTTGTATGTTCAACAAGGGACTTCGTTTGGGTATAAAACTGAAGAAAAGTGCACTTATCTCTTCAGACCAAAACTTGTCAATTAGATCATGGAGCTGTGGCCTGTTACTGCCACCTGATGGCAGCACACCTTCCTTGCACTGCGGAACTAGAAAGGTGGAAAGAATCTTTTTTTTTTTAAATAAATTTATTTATTTTTGGCTGCGTTGGGTCTTCGCTGCTCCATGCAGGCTTTCTCTAGTTGCAGAGAGCGGGGGCTATTCTTCGTTGCAGTGCACAGGCTTCTCATTGCGGTGGCTTCTCTTTGTTGTAGAGCACGGGCTCTAGGCACGCTGTTTCCAGTAGTTGGGGCATGCAGGTTCACTAGTTGTGGCTCGCAGGCTCTAGAGCACAGGCTCAGTAGTTGTGGCACACAGGCCTAGTTGCTCTGTGGCATGTGGGATCTTCCCAGACCAGAGCTTGAACCTATGTCCCCTGCATTAGCAGGCGGATTCTTAATCACTGCGCCACCAGGGAAGTCCCTGGAAAGAATCTTAAAGGTCATCCAACGTAAGTGGTTCTCAGCCCTGGGAAGCCCAGGCCCCACCCACAGACATTCTGGTTTAACTGGTCGGCAGGAGGCCTAAACACCAGTGGGTTTTCAAAGCCCCCAGGTGATTCCAGTCACAGCCAGGGTGAGATTCACATTCTAATCTGATTTGCAAAAACAACTATTTTCAACATTAGAAAAGCAATAGTAAGTCATTTTAGTGACTGCTGGTGCTATCTCACGGGACACTCCTTCCAGCAACAGTGTTTATGGGGCAGGGTAGCAGAGTGGCCAAGGCCTGAGCTCCGGAATCAGCAGAGGTGGGTTCAAATCCTGGCTCTGTCACTTCCTGTCATGTGAGTTCACAGTCTTTCTGGACCTTGAGTCCCTCGTCTGTAAAACAGGCACAACACCTACAGGGGTGTTATAAAGACTCAACATGGGCAAAGAACTTAGACAGGATGCCTGGAACAGAGTGGGAACTTAG